TTAATGAGGTTTAGCTAAGGGGAAAACATGAGGATCTCATTCATATTGGTAGGCATCTGTATTAAAGTGTTCATGTACTTTTTTTTTTACTTTTGAACTTAAAGGTACACAATCAATGTATTGGCAGTATCTAAAGCATAAACAACAAATCCTCAAATTGCTCAAGCATTACCTCCAAATCTCATAAATTATGGAGAAACATTATCTGGGTAAAATTTGTAAAATTTTAAATAGCACATTTTTTTACACATTACATCCAGTCATTTGAATGCTTTGCATGGATATGCAATATGACATACAAGTGAAACAAAGTGTAACAAAGTGTAACATTAACATGTGCATCTTTATATATCTAAATAGAGTTGCACATGTATTCAATATTTCTCATTATTAACCAGTGCTGGGTAATGGTAAGTTTAAAACACGTTTGATAAAAAAGTATTCTAAAAGTAATCTAAAAAGTATTCAGAATTCATTATGTAAAATGAGTAAGATTACGTTACTAACTACAGTTTTCATCATATAATCTGTAATCAGTAGTGGACTACAATTTGTAAGTAATCTATTCAGCTCTGTTATTAACTATCTATTAAACTCCTAATTTGCTGATTATTAAGTAGTTGTTAAATTTAGGTATGGGGTAGGATTAAGGGATCGAAAATGTGGTCATGCAGAATAAGGCATTAATATGTACTTTATAAGTACTAATAAACAGTCAATATGCTAGTAATATGCATGTTAATAAGCAACTGTTTATGAGAAAATCAGTCCCTAAACTGAAGTGTTACCCGATATTTTATTAACCTGGTCCATTGTATCTATGGTCAAAATACACAAATCAACAGGCATACGAGAAGCACAGCTACCCGCAGAGACTGTGTCTCATCAAAGAAAATCACAAACACTTGCAGACATTACGCATTAAGATGTAGGCTGTTTTAAGTCCATGTTTAGCTCCAGGATGCCTCCTAATACAAGTTGCCATGGTGATAACCAGGAACAGGACTGGAATCTTAACTCTCAAAGAAGAGAAAAACAAAAGAGATGGCAAGAGGAAAAAATAAGAAGCAAAGTCTTTTCATGCGGTATGGACGAAGCCGTGGAATTTTTCTTTTTTTACATGGATTAATTTGATTAGGGTTAGGGTTAGAAAGTGACTGAGGAAATACAAAGGAGATTAGGAAGCCAGCAAAATTAGCAGTCACAAAAAAATCTGCATAAATCTGCATTATTTTCTATTTCAGTCTGTATTTTTGTCTTGTTTAAGGAATGTTTAGACATTTTTACTGCATAACAAGACATATTTACCTAATAATCAAAACTGCACGAGACAATAAAAGTTTAAAAAACATACCTTGAATTAAGTTTCTTTTTCTTGTTCTGAAAAAAAACCAAAAAAAAAACAGAAAAGGTCTTTACATCTTAAGCTGTTTTTTAGTGGCTTCAGCAAATCGGCTTGGGGCTGGATGCTTGTTCCACCATTGAGGGACAGTGAAATTTCAGCACTGAAACTAAACACAGCAACTGTACAAAGCACATTGACATTTAATGAGGACTGCACTGCATTAAGACAGTTTATTTTTGTCTATTGTTAAACTATGCCGTTATATTTTGGCACTATTTTACACTTGGCATTTGTTTACATTGTATACCTGTGTCATCACTGTGACGAGTGGGTTGGGGCCAAGAGCCGTGGGAGTAGAGCAAGGCTGGTGGAGTTTAATGATAATGAGCGACACCTGTGCCACTCACCATTCTCGCGTACCAAGGAGGAGCTCCGCAAGGATAAAAGGAGGAGTGAAGACAGTGGAAGACGAGAGAGGACCAGGCCTGGGATTTATTTTGTGTTTTCATTTATGTTTTATGCGGTGTTTGTTTATTTTATTATTAAATGGTTTTAATGTTCGCCGGTTCCTGCCTCCTTCTTCCCATATCTACGAACTTTGCTACAATCACAATTTGATGTTACTGCTTTTACTATTCTGGGACAGGGCTTCATAACCCATGGTCCTGTGAAGAGTTGGGATAAAAGTCGACTTAAGCTGTTTTAGGTGGTTGCTGCTGAATGTTTCAGTGCTTATACAATGCTATCTAACGACCAATTTGTACGTATGACCTCACTCTTACGAATTTGTACGATTTGTCTAGACCCCAGTGACGGATAGGTTTAGGGCCGGGGTTAGGGGTAGGTCATTCACACAAATTGATACGAATTGAGGAACTTGTAAAATACATACGATTTAGTAAAAATCATACAAATTCCTATGAGTGGGGTCTTACAAATTGGGTTGGCTCACAAGTTTCAGAATGCAAGACTGTATTCGCAGAGACTGGGTTAGAAATAAATGTCCTGTGGGAGTTAAACCATGGCTTGCAGAGATTCCAACGCTCCTTTTGTCCTCTTTTCTTATGACAATGGACAGGTGCCTTTGATTATTCCACCCAGCTTACCCTCATGACCATATGATCACCATTTCCCAGGGAGAACTGACAGGTGCACAGATGGCTCACCATTGCAGTTCTCCTTCTAACTTGTCCATCTGGAGAATAAGTGGCAATTTAATGTCCCGTGTGAGCAGGACAGGCTCTGGTGTAAATGGAGTGAATGCTCTCTCTTCCTCTATGGTCCATTTCACTGTCCAGGAGATGAAGTAGGTGTTCCTTCCAGTACACAAAGTGGATAGTAAATTCATACAGGTAGACTGAGTTACGTCATATGGAACAAGGACGGTACGCCATGCATACTGAAAGGAAAGGCACTGTACTGCCAATATTCCTGTAGTGTTGAAGGACCCTAACTAAGTGACAGAAGGTACCTGCCAATATTTACAAAGACTTGACACAAGCAGTGCACCTTGCAGTTATTCTTTTGCTTCTCTTGGCCAGGGGTGTCCAATCCTGGTCCTGGAGGGCCTGCAGAGTTGAGCTACAACTTTTCCCAACATACGTGCCAGGACATTTCTAGTAAACCTTGATTACCTTGATTCAGGTGTGTTTAATTGGGGTTGGAGCTAAACTCTGCAGGACGTTGGCTCTCCAGTAGCAGGACTGGACACCTCTGTTCTTGGCCAAAGGACACTCCAGAGATAATTTCCAAAAAAAAAAAGCCGACAACACATAATTATCTTAGTTTTAGTCAAGCTTTGTGTCAGAGGCCAGGAGTGCCAAGAGAACTTAATCTAATAACTTGCAAACCTGACCTTGTTGCAGGATCAGAAATACCATTAGATCCCTCAGTAACCTGACACCGAGTTGGCTGTGATGGCCATGGGCACAGCAAGCTCTTGGACAAGGGTGATGGCAGTGCTTGGTAGTACTAGAGACAAGACTGTGTCTAAAGCTTGAGCTTAAGAGCATGTTTTCATAAACTTGTCATAAACTTGGGAGCATTTGGACTCAGTCTTGACAGTCCGGTCTTGAGTAGTACAACACTGCGGATACTTTTTTCTGTCTGTATCGATTCATATGATCCACTCTGTGCTATTGTGTCTTTGGACAGAAACACACTGTGTGTGTGTGCTACTCAGGTTTGTGTGACATTGAAGCAAAACCAAACTCTCTCTGAAGAGTTCACATGCAGGGGTCTGTGTTGACTCAGACTCGACCCTCTTATGGTCTCAATCATTTTTTTTGTTGCCATTTTTGCCTTTTAGGACAGTATATATATTGACAGGAAACAAAGTGGGAGAGAGAGGGGGGACAGGATTGGCAAAGGGCCGTGAGCCGGTACGCAAACTTAGGACGCCCAAAGCGCAACAGTGCTATATTTTGACACGCTGCCCACAAGGCTATCAGTCAACCTGGTCTCAGTTATTACTCTGAAAGCCAAAGTATACTTCAGTTTTTACATGTACATGAGGGTCCACGTGATGCACATTTCGTCACCTTAACAACAACAAAATTGTGGAGACTACCCCTGCATTCCATTCGGAAGGGCTCATCCCTATGCCCTAATTACCCTCTGGAGTGAGAGCTTCGAAGGGTTGAAGGGTGTAGGGGACCAAACAACTCTTTCTAGAAGTGCCCTTCTGTGTCATCATCATGTGCCCACACGGAGGCGCCGTCATCATGCAAAGAATCTGCACAAAGAATAATGGGGGCCCGAAGTGTCCATCAGTTGTACCCTTCGAAATCCTTCATTCCAAAGGGCCCTTTGAAGTGGCCAGTTTTGAGCACTTCAGTTTGGAACGACCCTTCAATATGGAGGCCATGATTGTTTTCACTCTGAAGTGCCCTTCGGAGGGTGATATATCCCATTTGGAACGTACCGTACAACAGCCGCATTGATGAGCGTTTGTGTGAAAGGAATGTGAAATAGCAGCAACTTTAGATTAAAAGAGTGCAAAGACATTTTTATCAGTCATAACTTCTGGAGAAAAATAGTGCAGAAAAAAATGAAGCTATCTAGAGGGCATGTGTAGATCGCCTGCAATCGCATACACCTCAAATGGACTATAATTTGAAAGGCTACGCATACAACTGTGCATAAAAAAACTTGGTATACTTGGGCCTTGACTCAATTTACTCAGGTCTCTACCTGGACTCAGACTTGAAATAGCTGGTCTCGACTACAGCACTAGGTGATGGGTATTGTTCCCCTTGTTTGTACTGCTTTAGGAAGCATGGATGATTGTGCCAGGCTTACCTTACTTTTGGACAGACTCTGAAGTTGATGATACACGGGACAACTTTTTGAGCGATGTTGCCGTCAACAGGCAACCAGGTGAGACACCTGACTGATCTAAAGTATCAAAATTTGTTGCCCATTCTCAATGGGAAAGTGCCCAAGCAACATTGCTCAAAAAAGTTGCCCCATGTATCATCACCTTGAGGCTTAGTATCATGAGCCATTGGGACAAGGCTTCTATATCAGTGCTGTTATCACTTACAAGATGGCTCAACATCATGTCCATATTTATTCATCTGATATACTTTTGTGTATGCCTATAAACATTTGTGTCCTATTTCTTGTGCTCAATTTCTGTTCTGTTTCTCCGTAGTGTGAAAGTCGTGGGGAGCTGCTGGTCTCTCTGTCCTACCAGCCTGTTACTCACAGGCTTAATGTGGTAGTCCTTAAGGCCAAACACCTGCATCTGCACAAAGAATAATGGGGGCCCGAAGTGTCCATCAGTTGTACCCTTCGAAATCCTTCATTCCAAAGGGCCCTTTGAAGTGGCCAGTTTTGAGCACTTCAGTTTGGAACGACCCTTCAATATGGAGGCCATGATTGTTTTCACTCTGAAGTGCCCTTCGGAGGGTGATATATCCCATTTGGAACGTACCGTACAACAGCCGCATTGATGAGCGTTTGTGTGAAAGGAATGTGAAATAGCAGCAACTTTAGATTAAAAGAGTGCAAAGACATTTTTATCAGTCATAACTTCTGGAGAAAAATAGTGCAGAAAAAAATGAAGCTATCTAGAGGGCATGTGTAGATCGCCTGCAATCGCATACACCTCAAATGGACTATAATTTGAAAGGCTACGCATACAACTGTGCATAAAAAAACTTGGTATACTTGGGCCTTGACTCAATTTACTCAGGTCTCTACCTGGACTCAGACTTGAAATAGCTGGTCTCGACTACAGCACTAGGTGATGGGTATTGTTCCCCTTGTTTGTACTGCTTTAGGAAGCATGGATGATTGTGCCAGGCTTACCTTACTTTTGGACAGACTCTGAAGTTGATGATACACGGGACAACTTTTTGAGCGATGTTGCCGTCAACAGGCAACCAGGTGAGACACCTGACTGATCTAAAGTATCAAAATTTGTTGCCCATTCTCAATGGGAAAGTGCCCAAGCAACATTGCTCAAAAAAGTTGCCCCATGTATCATCACCTTGAGGCTTAGTATCATGAGCCATTGGGACAAGGCTTCTATATCAGTGCTGTTATCACTTACAAGATGGCTCAACATCATGTCCATATTTATTCATCTGATATACTTTTGTGTATGCCTATAAACATTTGTGTCCTATTTCTTGTGCTCAATTTCTGTTCTGTTTCTCCGTAGTGTGAAAGTCGTGGGGAGCTGCTGGTCTCTCTGTCCTACCAGCCTGTTACTCACAGGCTTAATGTGGTAGTCCTTAAGGCCAAACACCTGCCAACCATGGACATCACTGGCCTGTCAGGCAGTAAGTACACACCACACATACACAAATATATAGATATTCGAATTATCCTATTTAGGACTGCACGATAAATCGCATGCAATATTTAACGCGCATATTTAACGAGCTGCGCAAAACCACGTTCATATTCGCGCGGTTTTTTTCTCAGCTCGTCAGTGAACAATGGCTCTGTGTAGTTAATGCTGCTCAATGTGAAAGCCCGCATGTGATGGAGATTTACCGCTGATTACAGAACCGGCTTTCTGACAAGATGCGCGTTAAATATCGCATGCGATTTATCGTGCATCCCTAATCCTATTTATGGTGCCAAAAACTTGACAAATTCCAATATCTTTATTTCCTTCTCCACCCACAGACCCTTATGTTAAAGTGAATGTCTTCTACGGCCGCAAGCGCATAGCCAAGAAGAAGACGCATGTGAAGAAATGCACACTCAATCCCGTTTTCAATGAATCATTTATCTACGATGTTCCCGCTGAGCTAATGCCGGACATCTCTGTGGAGTTTCTGGTCATTGATTTTGACCGCACCACGAAGAATGAGGTCGTGGGTCGCCTGGTTCTGGGTGGTCAGAGCCCCATCCCATCAGGGGTGACTCACTGGAGGGAAGTCTGTGACAACCCAAGGCGGCAGATTGCCAAGTGGCATAACCTTATGGAGTACTAGTGTCTGGCAAACACATGGGGAAAGCAAAATGTATTCCTTCCTTCCTGTCAGCCCCTCTATAGAAAGAAGCCCATTTAACAGTCTCTCCTTTTCCCTGTACAGATAGGTGTATGAGAGGATAAGTATGTGTGTCAGGACGTAAGTCCAGGAAAAGACACTTAGAATGTTCTCTAATGAACTCGCAGCAAAATAGACTCATACGTAATAGCAAAAAAAAAAAAAAACAAGAGGAAAAAAAGCAAAAATAACCACGTCAGTGTGGTTTTTGGCTCTGATTAAATAACACTAAAGTCAATTATAAGAGAATTATACCCATATGAGAGTTATACCACAGTATCCTCAGAGCCTTTTACCAGTATACCGGCATATTCACAGTATACATACACTACTTTCAATTAGCCGCATGCTACAGCTAGTGAGATACTTTTATTTTTAGGATGAAGGAGGGTTGTATGAAAAAATGAGTTTTAAAGTCCACTTTTTAAGAAAATGGGGTGAATGTTTTGATAGTGTAGGATAAAAATGGATGAAAAGTGATATATAAACTGGCATTTTTGCTAACATGCTAATATTTACCACAGAAGACAAGGTTGAAATATGGCTATTATTCATATCCAGCTAAAATGTAATGCTTAATCTTTTAATGACGCTGAAATTGAGATGAAAATTCTCTGGAGAAAATAAAACTCCAAATGCCAGTTAAACAAAACCTGATGTTAAGGCAGTTTTCAGACGACCACCAAATGAAAATTAGAGACCGTCAGCTCAGGATTAAAAATGAATTTGATTCATGAAAACACTCTGATGTTCCATAAAGTAAAGACAGTCTACACTTTCCCTGTTTTTATGCTGTAGCTGCTTTATTTATTTGTAGCTGTACTTATACATTACTGTTCATTTCTCCGTCTTGATGACTTGGACAAAGCACTTCTATGACCTATGTGTTGTCGGCGTATCTCAACATATCTACTATTCATTGATTTAAATTACATTTTGTTTTCCTTTAGGCATATCTATGCACATTTCCATTGTACTGCAAAGGATGTTTTGACCCAGTTGCTGTGCTATACCATAGCATAGAGATCAGGGAAGGTTTGGTTAAAAACGTTGGAGGGAAACACTGATAAAACAACAGTAAAAGCCAAATGTGACAGATATTAGTATATTTACGTATTGTCAAATTTGTACATTTTACATGTACTGTACCTAACATCACAGTTTCTATTGCCATCAAACATGTTTTTAAGGCCACACTTAATACAACTAATTCTTAACATCTTTGGTCACAATGTACATAATGTATTATAGGCCGTAACACTGGTACTCTTCAGTTTCTTTTTTCATAGTACAATTGAATATCGCCAAATATACATTTGAACTTTTTACTTACAAATGGTGTCTTGGAAATAACTAGCCCCCCTAGCTTATTTACTTCAATAAGTTTGGCTCTAAGCCCGTCTATCCTCTATTCTATGAATTATAGATATATGCAGATTCAGACCAATTTTTGCACTTTCGTAGAGTACTGTATTTATTTTTATGATTTGTGTTCAAAATAAAAAATATATATATATGTATATCAAAACCCTAATAACTATGATAGAACTAATAACTGACTATATCAAAGGTAGTATTTGGCATGAGACAGTAACCATTAGCCAGCGGCAGCTGTCGAAAACTAACCAAAGTAGATGGACCAATGTTTTCTGGTACGTTGGTGACCATGCAGCTTTAGACAGGCCTTTGAGTCTATGTTTGAAGGCATGCCATGTGCGTGTGGATGTGTTCCCAATGATGTAATTCGGTGCCCACAGCCCCTGAGGCAGATTACATGCTCTATTCCCAGTGCCAGTGAGTGCATATTTAGTTAATAAGGCAGAAAGTGGGAGGGTGAGAGGAGGAAAAAGATATCGACTGGCTCATTATAGATACTTCATATTTAACATGTGAAATTAATATAGCAGTAAATTAAGCCCCAGCGGTCTCTCCATGATATCTGCAGTCAAGCTCATTGTGAGTCATTAAGGCCACATAATGAGATTAACCATTGTTTATTAGCAAAAATGAATCACATTCCAATCACATTTTGAAGAAAATTAAGAAACCCATCGTCTTGCAATTTCACTCTATACATTTTCAACAGAAAAGTAACTCTTCCACCCTCTATAATGTTTTTAACCCTGCATGCAATGACTATTCAAATTTCTGCTTCAAAACTGGTGTATATATTACAGTTTTTAGTGGTTTAAATGACAGAAAAACCCACTTTTGTAAAAACAGCAACCCAAACTACACAATGCAACCTAAGTGAAATGATACATGTGTGTTTTTCTTTATTTTAACCCTCGGCTCCTTGTGTTACTTGGAACTTTTTTGATCTTTCTGGCATAAAAGCTTGTTTTATATCAATAACTATAGACATAAAGATGAATATAACCAATTGTAAATGAGTGTTTGTTCCAATGCACTGGTGGGCAGCAGCACTTTCTGCTCTTCTTGTATCTAACTGTTTTACCTGGAATGGAAATGGTTTCTTTTTGTGTAAACCTCCTCTTTTGGAGTGCTATCTGCCCCTTTTTTTCTCTCTCTGCCACTGGTCCCTACAATCCCTCAGTTTTTTGCTGTTGTGTGTTGTACAGAAACATTGAAAGCTGAACAAAGACGAAAATGAGCTGAGCAGAAAATTACTGTAATAAATATATTAGTCAATTTGGATACCGCAATATTGATATGGTTAAGGTGGAATTAAGTTAGTGATTCAACTTTATTTTAGGTGTCCCTTAAACCACTGTACCTAGATGATAAACAGTGTTAGTTCACCACAACTGTAGTGTGATTCATGCTGTTACATGGCCTTTTCAATATTTGTAAGTAAAAGCAAGTTGTCTATGTATAATGTAAGTACAGTGAATAACATGTACTTTACATACCCAGCTTAATACTGCTCATTTCACTATATGATCTTCAGGGACATCTAACATAGAGTGTGAACTGTAATGCTTTTGAGGGCAAGTTATCTGCATACTGCTGTGAGTTTATGCTAAATACAGTATGTTACACTAATGCTGACTTGTACTGTATGTTGAAGTTGTTAACACAATGAACGTGCAAATAAAATAAAAACTGATACACTAGATCAGACCTTCCCTTCTTTCTCTGCTCTGAAGTTGAATTAAAATCAAGTTATAACTTGAGTTGTAATCTGTCACCTACTCACCCCTTATTTTGCTCAATTTTCCAACCACAAATTTTCCATTATAAGGTGACAGATCCCCACAACCCCCCCCCCCAAAAAAAAGTAGAGGCAGAAGCAGAATTGTGGCTGGTTCCATAAGCTGTTTAGACTAGTCTTAGAAGTTAGTCATCTAGGTCATAACTTTTTTTTAGTCAGATACATAAAACTGTAGGTTGTCTACTCTGAAATCCGTAAGACTTGCTAGTTGGTAAGTTCTTATGACACAGTCTGAACATTGTGGCTGTTTGCACAATTGGCCACTGTGGTTACATTACAAGAAAACTGCACTAACAAAAAGTATTACCATGTTTTTTGGACAAGTACCATGGCAATACATGCTATTTATGAAGTACACTTAAAGCAAATACATTTTTTACCTTGAAATATCAATTTCAGAATCATTCTGAAGGTACACTGACTGTAATAAGGCAAATGGCTTCTGTTTCTTTCCCATGCTCCCCTTCAAATCTTGTTAGCTTCACTTCCTGTCCTCTGAGATGCCTTCATCTGATTGGTTTTTGAAGGCGGCATAGATGTATCCTTTGCTGCCTCTGATATCCCACAACCATGTGTTCAATTCCACTAACTAAAAAATAAAAATAACATCTTAAAGTTGTGGTTGGTGGTAAGCTTGTGTGTAAATTTTTTGACCAACTTTTTCTAGCGCGAAAATAGTACTGTAGTAAATAATTATTCATTTTTATCACCAAAGCTCCCTCTGTTTTGGAGTAGATCATTAAACCTTTATGCTGCCTCATAAGTCTGTCCAAAATCCCTTTTGTGAGGTACCTTTTTCTGCGCAAATGCTACCTATAAAGTAAGCAGGCCTCAAATCAGCAGCCTACGTTTTGGTGCGCGGGTACGAAATCCCGTGAAACGAGCGGACTGCTTTACGGCAGCAACAAATGCACGTGTATTACGACAGTGAATTCCACTCACTTAACTGTAGGGGGCTCCAGAGTCGCAAGAATTACACAAAACTACGTTCAGTAGGCAGGCTACGTGAATTCTGTAATCATTGTATCATGACCAGTGTTGGGGAAAGTTACTTTTAAAAGTAATGCATTACAATATTGCGTTACTCCATAAAAAAAGTAACTAATTACGTTACTTAGTTACTTTTTATGGAAAGTAATGCGTTACGTTACTTTTGCGTTATTTTTAAAATCCGTACAGGGCTTGCTTGTTTGTTTTTAAAATAAAAAAGTTATATTTTTGGCAAATATAAAAGCCTTTCACACCAAAAGTGAAATGAATAAGCCTCAGGCTGAAGGGAAAGTACATTTACGTCTGTACAGTAGAATGCAGAAGAAGACATTTCAACACACTTCAGCAATAAACAAACACACACGAATGTTTGTCTAGAGTAATTTTTGCTTATTAGTACGCTTGAACTGACTCATCGAAGGCCAGAAGCAAAGACATTGTTAATAGAATGGGATTAAATACATAAAGCATATTAGTGTTGTTTAACATTTAATTATTGCAGGTTTGCGTCAATATATATTATGCATTATTTTTATTCATTTTGAGGAATACTGAATCTGTGTTTTTTGTGTGAGTGAGATGAATTAATGCATATTCATATTTATTATAGAACTACAGTAACATCTGGTTTCTCTCAACATGGGGACAGGAGAGCTGTCAGTCAATACATTGGAAAGAAAAAGTAACTGGCGTTACTTATTTGAAAAAGTAACTCAGATATTCTCTTGTAAATTAAAAAGTAATGCGTTACTTTACTAGTTACTTTTAAAAAGTAATCTGATTACGTAACTCGCGTTACTTGTAATGCGTTACCCCCAACGCTGCTCATGACTGTAGCCTACATGGTACCAACAGTATTTTAGTCATCAGAAACAAATACAAGATAAAGAAGATTCAGAAAGCTTCAGTAGCTATATACAATATTCTATCTTATATTTCTCTATATATTTCTTTTTCTTTTTTTTGTATTTCTTTCTTTACGTAACTTATTAGAATTTTACAGTAACAACAATAACTGTAGTAGCTAGCTATATGTGATTTAACTATGTAAAGGTATTTATTATCATTATCAAATGTATTTAGTTAGCATTTATTAAAAAGTGTTTATTATATTTATATTGCATTCTATAACTTGCGTTACCGTGCTAATATACAGTATTTGTCCATGGCCCGAATGTAACCCTGCGGGCTTTAGGACCCGTCTGAGCTCAGTCCTTCATGGCTTTGTATGTTTACAGTGAGAATTGTATGGCAGGAATTTTCTAACATCAAATATTTAAACATAATTTGCATCGATACAGAAGTCCCAATGGAGACAGAGATCCTGTGACACAGGTAAGCCTCCAAGTAACTCAGTGGGCTTCTACCCATGGCTTTATCATGTACAGAATCACACTTTTTAAAGCATGACTGTAACCGCGGCGGCAACTATGTTTCTCTAGTTTATTTTATTTGACCGATTCAAGTGTTTGTTGTAATGCAACTCTGTCGCTTCATAAACAAGCCTAGTCATTCACATCGATGAGTGTTAAAACTTTCGCATGGTTTTTGTTAATATAACTAATAAAATTAGTCATATACATATACGTTTTGATGTATTCTCAGAGATAAACTCACTGCAAGTCGTCGACGCGTTCGGTCTATTAATATCACAAACTATGATTTCATTGCAGTTAATCTAGTTCTGTTGGTCTGTTCATTTCAGACTCGGTCATGAAATAATAATGCACTTCTATTCATCTTTGGGTGGTTTAAAATACTTTTTCTTGAGGTCATGCAAGTACTCCTTTTCGACATGTTTAAGACAGTGGTTTCGAGGTGCAGTTGCCACTCAATGACTCAAGGCCTTAATATTAAAAGAATGCGCTTTTGAACATAATAACCATATGTTTCCACCAACATACCACAGTTACTATCGGTAATATCGAGGCTAGCCTACAGTAAAAGTGTGGAGTCTTGGCAAAGGTATAGGCCTAACACATATTAGGAAAGCTTTAGACACTGTTTGATTATGATTTTACAGTACTTTGAACTGCTTACAACAAATGGTCATTAAAGGGACAGACTTAACCTTCAGGAAAAGTTGATTGCGAAGGTCAAAGTAAATGTTATATTAGCTGCTTTATTTTCTCAGTTTTCTGTGATATCATTGTTGCAACCTTGTAGTTTTTGCAGCCAAATGATGTGATGTGTAAATCCAGTTTAAAGCTTTTATTTTTGCAGATTTATAATAAGCATGAATTATAAGCATGAAGTTAACAAATACTATAAATTGTTTGTACATATTTATAATAAATTATATAAAACCAATATGCACTGTAGAAAAGGATCAACAGAATGTACACTATACCATCGACATTTTGGACTCACTTGGCTGAATTTATGTTTCTCATGACTTTGGAAATTGACAGTAATAGAGGCTGTAGAATAATTTAAGCCATTTGGTATTTATTTTATAATAAATTGCTAAGTCGTTTATTAGAAACTAACAAACCATGGACCATAAAAGAGATAATAATTATTATCCCATAAAAGATAACAAACAATTATGATAGGAACACAAAATCGCAAACAAACTCAATTAATATTTCTATTAAAATTATATTCATATACAGTATAAAATGAGATTGAGGGGAGCTGCACATAACACACACGCGCACGCGTGTGCACACACACACACACACACACACACACAGGGTTGTTTTTATGGTTTATGGGGACTCTCCATAGGCGTAATGGTTTTTATACTGTACAGACCGTATTTTCTATTGCCTTACACTAACCCTACCCTAAACCTACCCCTCACAGGAGACTTTCTGCATTTTTAGATTTTCAAAAAAACTCATTCTGAATTATTTATAAGCCTTTTGAATTACGGGGACACTGAAAATGTCCTCATAAATCACCTTCTCGTTGTAATACCTGTCATACCCATGTTATTATACAAATTTGTGTCCTCATAAACATGCACCCAGATACACACACACACACACAAAACATAATTAAACAGAGCTGCTCAAAACAGCTGTGTTGTTCCTGTCACGGCAGAGAAGAGTCAGGATCCAAGTGCGAGTGCAAAGGTAAGGTTTATTCAGTAATCACAATAACGGAGACACAGAGATAATCCTCGGGTCCTGGTCGGAATCAGAGCTCCACAGAGAATCCCTTCAACCACTGCGTTGGACCAAACCAAGGAGAAGGCTGAAGATCCGTACCCTGACTGAGCGAGAACTGGAAACAGAGAACTGACAGGGAGACAGGAACATGAGAATAACGAACCGACAAACACACATTGAACGGAGTGGCCTATAAAGGGCTCGCTAACGAGTTGCAGCTGGCACGCTCTGATTGAGCACCAGCTGCAACCACTAACGAGTGACGTACGCACATACAAGCACATGACAAGACGCAGAAAGACCGTCCGGACCCATGAACCGTGACAGTTCCATTGTCTAATCACGTAGATGGGCTGCTCTGAAGTAACTAATGCAGCATCACAGTCAATGACAATGGAAAAATACACCAGACAGGGGTACACTAGCAGAGAATCTATTATTGACCGTGGTTAATGTAACACCCACCTCGTGGATGCTTCGCTTTGTCACATGAATAGCTCGACAGAATGACTAATTTCCTCTTCTCCATCAAACTGAAGCTCTGGTGTCAAACACAGCCTCGACAAGTGCTGCTTTTCTGGGTGCAGTCAGTCACATTCTGCTGTGTTCCGCTACAGGCCTGCATTCATGCAGCGGTGCAGCTGTGGAATCAAGAGATCTATCTATCTATCTATCTATCTATCTATCTATGTATCTATCTATCTATCTATCTATCTATCTATCTATCTATCTATCTCTATCTATCTCTCTGTCCGTCCGTCCGTCCGTCTATCTGTCTATCTATCTGTCTAACTCTCCATCTGACTGTCCAGCTGTCTGTTTGCTCATCCATTCATCCATCTGTCCGTCCATTCGTCAATCAGTCAGTGTCTGTCTGTCTATCTATCTGTCTGTCTGTCTGTCTATCTATCTGTCTATCTGTCTAACTCTCCATCTGTCTGTCCATCTGTCTGTCTGCTCATTTATCCATCCATCCCTCCATTCATCCCTCCGTCCGTCCATCAATGTCTGTCTGTCTTTCTGTCTGTCTGTCCGTCCGTCCATCTATCTGTCTAACTCTCCATCTGACTGTCCAACTGTCTGTTTGCTCATCCATTCATCCATCTGTCCGTCCATTCGTCAATCAGTCAGTGTCTGTCTGTCTATCTGTCTGTCTGTCTGTCTGTCTGTCTGTCTGTCTATCTATCTGTCTATCTGTCTAACTCTCCATCTGTCTGTCCATCTGTCTGTCTGCTCATTTATCCATCCATCCATTCATCTGTCCGTCCGTCCGTCAATCTGTCTGTCTGTCTTTCTGTTTGTCTGTCCGTCCGTCCGTCCGTCTATCTGTCTAACTCTCCATCTGACTGTCCAACTGTCTGTTTGCTCAGCCATTCATCCATCTGTCCATCCATTCGTCAATCAGTCAGTCTGTCTGTCTGTCTATCTATCTGTCTGTCTGTTTGTCTGTCTATCTGTCTAACTCTCCATCTGTCTGTCCATCTGTCTGTCTGCTCATTTATCTATCCATCCATCTATTCGTCCGTCCATCAATCAGTCTGTCTGTCTGTCTGTCTTTCTGTCAATCATTCTTTTAAATTTAAGTTTTTAAAACTATTTTGAATAGTTCAGGTTTTTGCTTGTGTCTTGTTTCAGTTATTTGGATGGAGTCCTCGCGGAGCACAGGGGGTTACTCCCGCGAGTACAAATTGGTGATGTTAGGAGAGGGAGGTGTGGGCAAAAGTGGTGAGTAACGTAGTTCTCTCTCTCTCTCTCTCTTTTTCTCTGTTACTTCTCTCTGCTGCTGATGTTGCTTTCTTGGTTTTATTGGTTGCCATTCCCAAGTCAGCATCTGTCATTGTCAACAGAAGATCTAATTATTTCATTTTCATTGTTCACTACAAGGTTTTAACCCAGACATGGATGAATCGTTTATTGGATGGTATAACATGCATTTACCAAATTGATAGGGTCAATTTTAATTTCTTGCAGCTATAAGAAATATAAATATTAGTCGGCAGGACTGCAACAAATGATTATTTCGATTAATCGACTAATTGCCAAAGTTATCACTGATTAAATCGACAGACTTTGATAATTTTATTTAGCTTTTGCAAATAGTTAAAATGTCGAGTTTTATAAATATTATAACAAATAAATAAAATATAGTAATCACTTCAGTTTTTGAAAATTGTATTCATATTATGTAATTACAATTAGGGTTGCAAAAAGGTGGAAATTTTCCAGTAAATTTCGGAAATATTCCAGAAATTTTGGATACTTTCCAGGATTTTTTGGAATATTCCAGGGATTTTTGGAAAGTTTCCGGAAATTTACTGGACATTTTCCACCCCTTTGCAAACCTAATTACAATTATGTTTTACAATACAAATAAATACAGTATATTTGGCACACAAAATGTGATGACAGACGAGAGACATTTACAGTCACCATTTAATTAGCTATATGAAAAAGTGACACAACATTCTGCCTAACATCTTTTTTTTAAGTCATATTGTTATAAAACAAAATACAGGTAAATAATAAGACATTTCATTTTTGGATAAAAATTTTATTCACAACATAATCTCTCTTAAAATACCGTATAATGTTACAATAATCGAAACAGTCCTCAGTTAGATCAAGCTTTAATCTCTGCAAACCAAACTATCACTTTAATGTAATAATATGTTTTGGATTTTTGCATTCACTAATAAAAAGATTTTATCATTAGATAGTTCCACATGAGAGATGCTTTATAACAGAAAATCTAGTTGTAAATCTAACTGAAAGCGACACTGACACTGTTTTTTTTTTCATGTGAAATACTGTGAAACTTTTTGCTTTAAATCAATCTATTGTATAAAGTAGGCCTGGGCCGGTATGAGATTTTGACGGTATGATAACCTTAAGCAAAAATATCACGGTTTCACAGTATCACGGTATTGTCGTTACAGCTCTAAAATGTGTTATTTTTAAATGACTGGGTAAAAAAAAAAAAAAAATTCAGCTGAACACAATATATTTTGTTTTTGAACAACACAGAATATTAGGAACAGTAGAATTTGTTTATTTTTTCTTTGATTTGTTTCCTATAAAGATCTTTAAAAAATCTTTATTTAACCTAAATCTGTAATTAGTTATTTAATTTTAGTTATATAATTCATATACATAAAATGTATATGTATAACCCAATTTGAAGCAAAAACAGAATGTTCTGACTAGCTTTGTGAAATTATACTACATGCCTGATCGAAGCAAGCAGCAGAAGCTCTGAATGAGATGCAGATTCACTCTCTGACAGCAGGAGGCGCTTCTGGAACATCAGATACAGTATTTCCTTGCTTACCGCTGTAAACAAAGCAGCTGCGCTGAAACACTGCTTTAATATGAATTATAAAGAGACGAGATTAAAAGAAAATGCCACGTAAACTTTTCTGAAGACAGTCAGTTCCCCTCAGAAACACATTCATATAAACCCCCAAATCAATATTGAGGATTTTCTTCCAATAGTTCGTGCATCATGAACAGTGAGTGATCTGCCTGCTACAGTATTTTTCTCTTTGGGTCCGTCTTCAGCGTCTCTGGCCTGTGTTAACTGGCATTTACAGACTTCATATTTTCACATAAATGACATTTTGGAAAACGATTGCATTGCAACGCAGTTTGTGCAAGTCCAGAACATAGACGAGCTGCAATAAGATAAAAAACGTCCGGTTGCCAATCGCGTAAATTCCAGGGGCAGCTCCTTAAGTTCATCCATCCTACACACACGTGACCGCTCGCTCGCTCGCTCGCTCGCACCAACAGGAGGAGGAGGAGGGTTGTGTTACTCTCTACACTGCACTCAACCTGAGGGATTCCTACACTTTCAGTCTTTGAGGAGACATGATAAACAGCGCATACTGCAGGAACGGTATAACGGAAAATATTAGTGGTTTTGAAACCGTGACATTTTCAAACCGCGGTATACCTTGAAACCGGTAATGAAACCGCCCATGCCTAGTATAAAGCGCTAAATAAACATGATGTGACTGGACTTTAATGGAGTGCTGAACTGCAGAGCTTGTGCAAACATATCCACATTGCTATAATTAGATGCTTTCTTAACTGCTGCTTTCTCACCGCTGTCATTTTTGTTGTGTTTATTTCATTATTGAGAGGAAAGCGCGCATGCAGCCTTTATTTACACCTTCATTATAATGCCATTCGGCTGTTTGCTCTCTAAACTTCTGTATCTTCTTCTATTGGATTTCATCCGGGAGAGCTGAATGACAGTCTTGCACTGCAGTGCCACACTGGTCAAACCTCGTTATTGCTGGCTCTTACATTAGGTCATTAGATCACACGAGACACGACTATTCGACAACAAAAATATTTGTTGCCAATTTTTTATTGTTGACGTTGACGATAATGTTGACTAATGGTTTCAGCTCTATTAGTCGGTGTTGTTCTAAGTAAGAATAAGCAGTTCTCAGAAAGTATTAACAAAAATATGATTGTTTCCCTAAAAGTCTTGTAAGTTTTTCCAAATGTAATCAGCAGTCATTTAAACAGGGAGCTGCTAGAAAGTCACTTCATAATGCTTAAATCCTTGTCTGTGGCTAGGAGCAATTTTTATCAACACTTTCCTCTGTAAGAATGTATTTTTTCCCCATAAAGGCAATGAAGCCTAAAAACTATGTTTAGGAACATTAACATTTAGGAAAATTAAAAATCTAATTTCAGAATTTTATTTGAAAGCAACCTCAGTCTCAAATATCCATTATATTGCCTTGATGTTTTTCCTGTGTCTTTTTTAGAGGCTCTTAAAAGCTTAAATGTTTCTGTGTCTACTGGAAAAAGGCCCCAAAACAGGGCTGTGGGCTAAACTTGGCCATTGATGATGGGGAAAAAAATGTCCAGTATCCATTTGCCCGTTAATTTGTGGTGGTTAAATATGCTTAATTTTAAAACAATTGAAAATAATGACAGTGCAAAAAGTCCTTAAAGGGATAGTTCACCCAAAAATGAAGATTCTGTTATCATTTACTCACCCTCAAGGTTTTTTTCAAACCTTCTGTTGAAAACAAAAAAACAAAACAAAAAATATTATGGAAGTCGATGGCTAACATCAACTGTTTGGTTAGCAACATTCTTCACATTATCTTCTTTTGTGGTCAACAGTTTTGGAAATTCTTGAGGGCGAGTAAATGATGACAAAATGTTCATTATTGGGTGAACTGTCTCTTTAAATAGACTTTCCTTCAACTAAAATTTTAATTCCTAAATTTCTTTCTTTGATTTTGGCATGAAATAATTTTGTGCGATTGACCCTTGTACCAGATTTTAGTGGTTTTCTTTCACTGACTGTAGCCCTTTATTGTGGTCAGACAGTGGGCTGGTTTCACAGCCTTAGACGTACAGTCACAGGCGGGCAGACAATACAAATGTGGGTGTTGGCTCAGTGCTTCAGTCTGGTCGTTACGAAGGCGCAGGTGCCTAGCAACTTCCTTCCCCTCCAGGAGTCTGTTGCCTAGGAGATGAGCGGAGGTCACCTGGTGAGGATCTCATTGTTCGAGTGCACTGCAGAAGGTTCTTTAGGGTGACTGATATTCTCTCTTTATATCACCGTCTCCATGGGAACAGAGCAGAGAGCGCATACAGAGCAAATACATGCCGACAGCAGGGTGTGTTTGCTGCACATGAGGGAGAAGGGGGAGATGTTTACACTCTTCTCATTGAATTTCATGGTACCACAATTATGTAAGAACTCTGCTTGTCTTGTTCTCTTTGTATTACAGCCATCATCATGCAGTTTATAAGTCACAGATTTCCAGAGGATCATGACCCCACTATCGGTAAGGAAATTATTAACATGTCCTCTTAACTCATCAGTAAAGTCTTTTACATTTCGGAGTGATATTGCATTATGTTTTTGTGACGCCACAAGTATAAATGACCAAAGAATTTGGGTGAATTCTGGATGTGAATTCTGAGAAATGTAGCATTACATCACCTGCTCACCAATGGATCCTCTGCAGTGAATGGGTGCCGTCAGAATGAGAGTCCAAACAGCTGATAAAAACATCACAATAATCCACAAGTAATCCACACCACTCCAGTCCATCATGTCTTGTAAAGTGAAAAGCAGTGTGTTTGTAAGAAACAAATCCATCATTAAGGTGTTTTAACTGTTGCTTCCAGCTAAAATATGAGTCCTCTATCTATCTATCTATCTATCTATCTATCTATCTATCTATCTATCTATCTATCTATCTATCTATCTATCTATCTATCTATCTATCTGTCTATCTCTCTATCTGTCTATCTCTCTGTCTGTCTGTCTGTCT